TACAGATTTGCTCTAGTTAGCTCTTATTTAAAGAAATTACTTTATTTGATTTTCTATCAGGATTTTTGCAAAGTAATTTATAGATTATGGAAGTTATTGTTTATTAGATACGAGTTAAATAGAGATTGTAAGATTTGAATTAACGGTAGCTGTTTGTTAGGATTTAGGATGTGAGTTCTAAAAAAAAAAGACTTAACTTTTTCTCCTTGAACATTGACATTATAAATTAATGTTCTTGTGGACGTAACCGAATGACTAACCAAGTTGTTTTTTGCTTATTCTCTTGTGCTTTTGTGCCTTCAAGTAATATTACAAGTTTGGAAAAATTTGGCAATATGATTCATCATCCCAAATGCGCAATATTAACAATTGTTACAAACTTTTTATTTTTCAACTCATTGCATCTTAATCAATGATCGTCAAATTTCATTATTATTTTGATATAAATAACCATAAGCTACATTAAGAATACCAAAATGTATCATTAGATATTCAAAGTGATCATAATTAATAAAAAAATGATTTTAGAAAATATAAATTTAATTCAAATGTGAATGTAGCAGCTTCTTACATCCAATTTGATGAATTTTATCAAACAAGTCTTTAACATAAAATAATGTATTATTGTTTTTAACATTTGTTGATTCAAAGTAATAAATACATAATCTCATGAGAATATGCATTAATTAAAATAATAATAATAATAATCTGTAAGCTAATACATTTTATTGAATAAATAATTCTTTCAACATCTCTTATACTTGAGCTTTGCATTATTCATTTTTTTGAGTTAAACTACATGAAACTTTGCAAGTTAGAATAGTTACAAGTCTTAACTTAATTTTATGATGTACATGTTTCATTAGATTGAATGAAGACAAGATTATCATGTATGTACAAAATGTATCATATTCAATGATAATCATGCAAGTAGATACTTCAGAAAATTATGTGTATATCTCATACAAATGTTATTTAAAGAATTCAAAATGTAAAAGCTGTCTTGGAATCCAATATTATGTTTCATAAATTTCAAAAAAAAAATGTCTAGAAAGTAATAACTTATACATAATTTGAATTCTTTTTCAAAATCTTATTGTATTTTCATAGATTTTTAACCAATATTTTTTCTTCCAATTCAAATTTGAAATATATTGTTTCATCTTTGACATTCATAACATGAAAACATATAGTGCTACAAATCTCACTGTACATTTATTTTACTTCTTATATCTACTTATAAATAACTTTACATTTTTTGATGTTATGTCTATTGCTTAAATATATTTTTTTAACAATATTGAGATTTTTTGGTTGTCCTATGATCAATCAAAACTCTCACCTTGTGTTTTGTTTTTATCATATCGATTGTAATAATGAATTCAGTTTGTTTTTTTACTCCATCCATTAATTTCCAATCATTTTCTCCTTTCAACCTCATTTTTTCTATGTTTTATGAAAGCTATAAGTTTGCAAGTCGCCTTTACTATGAATTTGTCAATTTCATTAGATTTTTGTACTCAGTGACCTTTATGTTGTTGAAAGGTCATAAGTACATTAAAAAAAGTACTTATTATTTTGGTATTTTGGCAAAATTTGGCAATATGATCCATAATTTCAAATGCAGAAAATTGACAATTGTCATGAACTTGCATTTTTTACAAGCCTCTCCATGTGAAACAATGGGTGCCAAATCTCATCAACTAATCTTGATGATGGGCTTCAAGGTGATGCATAACCTTTTCAACATCAAAAATTTGTCAAATTCATTCAAGTTTGGAAAAAAAAACCTTGAACATTGTTTGATTGTTCATCATGTGTGATTTCATAAGCATAATTTTATTTTAAACAGTGATGATTGCTCAACAAAATTTTTAGTGGTTATGAATAAACAATTGTGTTTTATTAACTTATTATGAATGTACTATTAACCATCAACTCTTTGCAAACTCAATCTTTCAAAACTTATTTGAACATATCAAAAGATTATGCTTTTCTTATATTCATAATACATACTTGAACATCAAATAAATTTTTGATATATTTGTGGATAATTTCTTTCTACTTCAAACTACTTATTTTTATTCTTTTGGTTTAAACATAATCAACAATTTGAATTTTTTTTGAGATTCATCATGCATTTTACTCCAAAAATTTGCAACTTTTTGTAAGAATATCATTTATTTCCCTGTATTGATTATGTGTCTTATACATGAATGAATAAATTATGAAAAATTTTACAATAAAATCAATAAAAAAATGTATATTTACAATTCAACCTTCTAAAATTTCAAGTTTGCTTTTACTTTACATGAGTTTTCATTCAAAGAAAAAAGTTTGTCTTGTTCTTCAATCTCGAAGTTGTCTCTTATTTGATAGTGCAACATAATAAAAGTTGATTCATACTTAAATATATGTCATTAGTCAGAAGTTTTAAATTTTAAATTTTAAATATTTTTTTGGTGCAAATTTCTTATCTTTTATGACTTGATGCTTTATATATCCTTCTATTATAATTTTTTTTCAATAATTTTATTTCTTCCATGATTGCATTTGGAATCTCATCTATGTCAAGTGGTAACTAATCTATATACATGTTGAGTGAAATTAAGATGGGTGTTTTTGAATTCATTGTCATCAAACATTTGATACAAAATGTACATAATATAATCTTAAATCTTTACGTAACAAAAAACAATTAAAATAATCAAGGAGATACTTCACCCCATTATTTTGAATCATAAAATTTGCATCTCAATACAACACATTATACATTCGAAAAGATTTTTTTATTATTTTTAATGATTGAATAGATTGATTATGAACCATTGTGTTTTTGATATCCTATCAAACATTTTCATATCTGCAAATCCACAAGATCCATTATTTTGTCTTTTTACATGCAAATCAATGACATATGATCTTCGAACTGACCCACTTTCACATTTAGGTCGTGTGACATTTTGATGATTCATTGTGATTTAGAAAGAAAAATTCCTTGTATGAACATGTTCGTGTCTGAAACATCTTGTCACAAAATCTTTTCATTCATCATTGAACATTCATCAACACTTTAAAATGATTTTGTAAATCAAAATTTTTAATAATGAAAGATGTTCTTGCACAATGAGTTTTCAAACTTGCTTGAAAATCTAACTCTCTAGTTTTATTATTTGAAAAATTACCATAGTAGAAAATGGTAATTATCATCTAAATTACTTAAAGTACATTTTTTGAGAAATTTTGTGTTATTATGCAGATTTTGCATATAAAGAGATTTTGTTTTAAAAAAAATAACGACATTAACTTTATATGATATAGCTCTTTATTTTGCTTGATTAGAGCTTTATTATAGTTTGATTCAGTTTACAAAAGTATCCTTGTGTTTGTACAACAATGCTGGTTGTGATTATAAATTGCAGATTCTAATAAGCTTTGATATCTGTTGTAAAATAAAATATTATATGATCCATCAAAGTAATGTTACCCACATGAATTCAAGATTGATTTATAAAAAAATGTTCTAGTTGTGACAAGAGGAAAATTGACTACCTCTTTCATATAGCACATGTTAGATTAGTTGACTTTCTTTAAGTAGAATTGGAAAAACATGAATTTACTTATAACACAATTCTCTAATATAACTGTGTTACAGACGATTGTATTTTCTTCAAACAAATTCTATTTGTGAATTTGATAAGTTTTCAATACTTCTGAGGCATGCAAAACCTCTCAGCTCATCACAACATTGATAATTGTTCCTCATCTTTTTATTACAACTAAAATTCTTCTAATAACATAATTGTAGACGTAGTCTCTAATCTTTTCACGACTAACTTGGAGTCTGATTGCTCGTAGTAAACATGTATGAAAATCTTGAACGTTCTTAGCTCTCGACCAACACAAGTTTGCCGCTTGCTGTTGATCACTAATCACAACAAATCTGTATTTCACGCAGTGATAATTGCCGTTGGTTGCTCACTGGTGACATCAATTGGGAATTTCATATGGTGCTTATATTGTGAGATACTTAACTTAGTTGTCATCTTTTGAAACACTGAATGTTAACTACATTTGGAAAATCTGACTAGTAATAGTCACTCTGATTTCAACTGTTTGAAATTTGAAATAGGATATACAGATAATAGCGTGCACAATAGAGTTGATACAACTAATACGTGGTGCACCTCAACCACCGCCGTCCATGAAACACAAATACCACTTTACTATCCAAATTTGTGTAAAGAAGAACTTATGTTAACATTCTTTTACATCACAAATTGCTCTAGTCGAACTAACCACTTGAAACCGACAATAGTCTACTAAGACTTGATTTAGCTACCAGCACATAGTCATTTCACTAGTCTACATTGTCACTTGAACTACATAACATGCTTTTATTTTTCTACAAATAACACTAACCAGTGATATGCATTCAATATTGATTACATTTGGTGATGACATCAAATGCACATGGTTTGATCTAGATACACTGTGCAAATACTGTACGTGGTGTAATACATCACCTTCATCACTATACTAATGAGTTATAGCCATGGATTCCTTTGGTGGCTTGAAGGGGATATCTTTTGCCGTCCTCTTAACCGTAAGTGTTTTTGTTGAGACTATGTTATTTTATGGAAGGTATCATCAAATTCATATGTCATTGACACTTCACAAAAAAACGTGAAAAGAGAACACGAGCAAAAATGAAGAAAAGGATAAGCTTCATGATTGCTTGTTGAGAGTTGAGTCCGATGGGTCAGAAGACGAGAGACAGTTTTATAGTGACGGCGTTACGATGTGGGGAACGGAGGGACAAGTCCTTTGGAAGTGCCGTCGATGGGGACGGAGGGGAGGGCATGGAAAGGGCTTTCGTCGATAAGCCAACACCTTATCCAACAGGCTTTCCGGTTGCCAATGGGGGCCGACCTTCAATCCCGCTTTCATATCTGCTTCTCGTTCGAATCGTCGAACAAGAGGGCTGTTCGTGGGAAGCTCATGTGAAGCCACTCCGTATCACACTCCAAACTCCAACATTCAAGCTTCGAAGGAATCGTCGTCAATCTACACGTGAGTGCCACGCTCCTCGTCCATAGCTCAGCTTTCGAATATCGCAGGTCAATGTCTGGCTAGCTCTTTTTCGTCGGAGTTCTTTTGCGAGACCACCTGTCAGTGAATTTCGCTCTGCATTGGCATTGTACGCTCTGTTCTCTGTAGCTTCGAGGGTGCATCGGAGCTCTGTTACTCCTACTTCTGAGAAGATGCTCTTACGTTTTACACTGTTCGCTCTTAGGGATTCTTATTGTTGTAGCGGATACGACCTTGTTCTCTGGGCTCATGTAGTCGATCGTTTCGTCGTGCAGGTGAGCTGATTGAAGCAATGGCAGCCATGGCCACTCTCGCTCTTTCCGGCCCTGTCGCCGGTCTCGGAGGGTCCGCTCTCTTGGTGAAGTCGACTCGCTCCAAGATGCAGCTCACCTCTGGTAATTTCTAGATCATGCATTTCCTTATCAATTGATCGCCCTGACTTTGTCCGCATTTCGTCTTCCGGAAATATGTTATCGATGTCCTACAGAAACTTTTTGATTGTAACTCTGTTCACAACTTTCAATTGGAATTTGCGAACTTTCGCCCATCCGTGACGACTGAGAATTGAATCGTGGAGATGTTCCATTGGACTTATCACCAACATCTGTGTATTGCATCGCAGCTTTCGTCCAGAGGACCTCCTTGGTCGCGGCACCCAAGAGCGACCTGTGCATGTCTCGCGTAACATGGTACGCTTCAATAACTGTTGCTTGAGCCTTGATCAACCATCAGACTTAGTCAATATTCCGAAGGTCGGAATAGGCGACCGAGGACACAAAGAATCTTCCACTTGCCTTGTGTTTGGGTTATGTGTGTGTCGCGCCCCCAATCCGACGCCGGCAGAACATGTGCAACCTTTATTAGAGTAACTAAGTCGTAAAGTTCTTATTTGTCTGGTAGAGAGTACACAAAGGACACGCAAAGGGCGGCGAATATCTTGAATGCTATTGCATTGTGGAAATCAAGCAAGACCGGAGCAACCTACCCTGCCTTTGAATGTGGAAGGATCTTTAACTATGTAGAATGTGTTGGACCTTGCTCATATTCAAACCTAATTATATCTCCCACTTGTGCAGCTTCGAAAGAGATTGGTTGAGAAAGGACCTCTCCGTTATCGGATTCGGTCTCATCGGGTGGATTGCTCCCTCAAGCATTCCATGCATCAACGGTAACAGCCTGACCGGCTTGTTCCTCGGAAGCATCGGCCCAGAGCTGGCCCACTGGCCCACCGGTCCCGCCCTCACCTCCCCCTTCTGGTAAACATCTTCAACTTGTGTGATTTCGACTCCTTGTTTATTTTATGCTCAAAACTTCACGACGGTATAAATTTTGTTTAAAACACGCCATGCGTTCTCGATGGGCTGCATTTTGATTTTGCTGGTTCTGCTGCATGCGCAGGTTGTGGATGATCACATGGCACTTGGGTCTCTTCATCTGCCTCACCTTCGGTCAAATCGGATTCAAGGGCAGGAAGGATGGTTACTTCAACAAGGAGTAGATTGGCTACACATCAATCTGTCGATATGAACTTTACGAAATGGAGTTTTCAGTTTACCACGGATGTATACCTTTGTAATATGCCTTCAGAATTTGTAATCTAGACAACATCACGTTCGGGAAAGTGGCCCATCAATTGTACCATGTATGTCGGTCTTATTTGCTCTGGGTGCTCGATTGTTCTCAAGACTCCTGAAGACTCGCAAATTCGTACATTTCCGGATTGTGACCTGATATGATCGATGGTAGAAATGTCAATCACTACATCCTTGATACAGAAAACCGGGATGTAACGTTATCTGCCAACTGGATAAAGTAATGAGAAGAAGGAAATAATGGATTATAGTGATAGTCTTCAGATAATTGTCTATTCTTGACACGAATTTCATTATTAACAATGCACGTGAAAACTTGTAAACGAGAATAGAAGTGAGAAAAGAGTGAAGAAAATATATGTATATCGCAGGACCCCGATTGTACAGTACATATGTTCGCAATATCAGCAAATTATACTGAAAGGAAGCATCGTCTGTGCGGGAAAAGTGACTAATCCTGCTCTGTTGTTATGATGAATACATAGCAGACAACAATCAAAATGTATAAATTTCCCATCTCACTAAAGTAACAAATGTGACAAAGAGAAAGAAGTTATGTGTCATAATAATATAGGAGAAAAATGTACACTGTAACACATCATTGCAGACTCTCTACTATGAAATACGTAAAGAAATGCCCGTATGAATGAAAATTATCAGCGACGTAAACATTAAGACAGTAATCATCACTTGTCTGGAACTTATTACGCCAAATTACATTGAGAAGAACGAATGCGTAGATTCAAAATTCGCATGTAGTCTGTTTGGAATGTATAGTTTGAAATATATGTTTGAGAGTGTACATGGTGAATAGTATTTTAACGTGAAAGTAGATTTATCATAGACAACATTATTGTAATGCGAGAAACTGAACCGATAGATATGTGACAAATGATGCTAATTGCCCTTATTGCTTTAAGATTCGGACAAAATTGTAACATAGAAGTGTATAGCATTCATGTACAAGCATATAGCATCATAGTAAGTAGATTTATATTTATTTATGGGGAGCTAGTTATCCCTCACCTGGGTCTAATTAGCCCTCACCTTACTATATGTATGTTAGTTAGGGTCTTAATGTTAAAAATATCGCTATAAGGTTCTGTGTGCTAAAAAGTAAACTTCGTGAGTTTTAATCTTTCCAATCGATGTCACAAAAGCCACGGAGCATGAGTGCCACCTCCGCGTTCAAGTAGTCACGTCAAGGTTCATGGCAGCGGAAACGGGCTCATTGGTGTGAATTTTTGATCAGCACAAGTGGTGTTTAGACATTAATGTTCAATGCGAATGCGTCGATGCCCTTGCTTTGAGCGAGCTCGATTTCCCGCTTGTACGTGTCCATGAAATCATGTGCGTAAATCAAGTAGTGAGAAGGGAACATTTTCTGAGCTATGGCCATTGATGCATATGAGAAAAGTGCAGTCTGTCATTGAATTGGTTTAATCCCCATAAGCTCTTCAATGGAATTGGATGGAGCGATTTGAGCTCTGTTTTGACGTAGAGCTGGATTTGTATGTTCTCGTGTATTATGGGACGATATCTCAAGGAAATGAGGTTTTTATGTCTTCCGAGTATGAATCTATCTTTGAACAATTTTTTCTTCGGAAGCGATTGCAATTGGGTGAATTTCTTGGAGTACGTGAGGCGCTGATGCAATTGATCACGTTTCAACGTCTGCAAGCTCATGCAATTGGTAGATTGTATTTTTTGATTCCAATAACTTACCGCATACAAGTGGATGTGTCACACGCTCGACTGGTTGTTGAGAAATATATGCTCCATTATCGACACGGAAACATCAAATCATTTTTAGATGTGAGATTTTTTCAATTCGTTCGAAGATATATTTATAAGACGAACGATTGAGCCCGTTTCCGCTACCAGTAACATTGACGTGGCTTTTGACACCCTAGTATCTTTGACGTCGATAAGAAAGATTAGAACTCACAAAATTTACTTTCTACCACACGGACCCTATAGCGCAATCGCACCATTGACTGACTTTCATATACTAGGGTGAGTGCTGATTAGTCCCAGGTGAGGGATAACTAGCCACCCCCTTATTTATTTTTTTTACATCACAATATTATACGTAGAGCTTTAACACTACATGATCTTGATTTTGCTATTTTTAATATAAAATTGTGGTTGTAAATAAAAAGTTTTCAGCAGAACAGCAAAGTGTATAATTCTTGTGTCTAACTTTATGCTTGTCTCTTGTACAATCCATTCATTACATAGTGTGTTCTTTCAAGCAACAACTTGAACTCAAATTGGTCTGAAAATATCTTTGCGCACAAATAAAACTTGTCTCTCTGTCATTTGCACGTATGAATTTTAATTACAATATTTTGTGGCAAGTTAACACAGGGTTGATATTGAATATTTTTCAAATTTATTACAAAATCAAGTGGAAATATGCTTTTAAGATATCATAACAAGTTGCATAAACTCCATAAATGACATAATATTTTTTAAAAGTTGTTAATTTTTTTTTTTGTAAAAAGATTAGAATCAAATCAAATTTATAATCAAATTTTAAATTTTATTAGTTGAAATCACATTATACTATTGCTTTATGGATTTTCAAATAACTCTATTTCAACTTAAATCTCAAAATTAAAATTAAAAACTCAAAATTCAAAATACATAGGATTTATATTACATTTCTGTATATTAAAATTAAAATTTTTTTTTAATGTGATGATGATGGTAATCACATTTTCAAACAATTTTTATACTTTTTTAGAATCAATTAATCAACATTTTATTGCAAAATGTAATCAATAACATACGTATTTGAGTAATAATTTGATCATAATAATTGGAATGGTATCATCTTTACTTAAAATTTAATAGCTTCATGCCATATTGATTGTATGTCTTTGAAAGTTATGTAATTTTTTTTGAAATTTTGTAGACAAATAAATAAATGTTATTTATTATGATCTACCAAAATTTTCTTTGCTTATTCTACCTAAATTTTGAATATAAACAGGATTAATTAGCTTTAAATTATCAAAAATAAATACAAAGAGTTATATCAAATTTTTAATTAAAACATGCATGTTGCTGAAATATACAGTATATTAAATTTGAAGTCTAAAATTTCATGAAAACATACACCATATTAAAAAATAATTTTACCACTTATTTTGAAAAAAGTATGTATGTGAGTAAATATATTATATAGATTTATTTCCGAAAATGACAGATTAGAAAAAATATCGATTTAAATAAAAAAATCAGAATTTTGTATCTTGAATTTTGTATCTTTTGACTAATCTTTGTTAAACTCTTTGACAGAGTTTGCAAATTTTGTCAAACATGAGCAACATTGATTCTTCTGCATAGTATATATACGTATACATATTTATTTTTTTCTAAATCATAAAAAACATGTTTAAAATATTTTGATCGAAATTTAAAATTTATTTTTAGAGATGTTTGGTTAATTATTGGCTTTGAATTATATTGTATTCACCCAACAGATATTTCATAATTGAAATTTCTTAAACTAAATCTTAGTTGATCAACATTTACTTCATAATATTATATTTTAATATAAAATCTGGATCAATTAATTGAAAAGAATTTTTGGCAGTATTAAGTTTTTAATAAACTAGAATTTGAGTATGCTTGTTTCTTTAAGTTAAGTTGAAAATTTTTATAACAATCTTATGCAGGCGTGTGTATTTCAAAGACATGTGCGCCAATAAAATATAATTTGAAGAATTCATAATAATTAGTTTTGTGATTTCTTAGATACATTGATACTGCAATTTTTTAAAATTTTTATTTTATAACTAATTTAAAAAGAAATTTAGATCAATTTTTTATTTTTTTGTTTAAAAAATAAAATTTCTACCATTATCAAGTTTTGATCACATGCCATATTTTCTCATCATTCTGAATATTCAAAATATTAGTCTGATACTGTAAGGAAAACACCAGTTTTGCAGAATTACAAAACTTCATAGCCTGAATGTCGCACTTTTCACTTACTTAGGAAATATTTAAATTTATTGACTGCTTATGTACATTAAAGGGTACAAATTTTCTAATAATGTGAATTATTTTGAGCAATCAAAACAGGAACACATATTACATGTATATAACAAGATTATACAAAAGCACAAGAATATTCTAATCCTTATTTTTAAGATTAAAATCCTATGTATCTGAATTCGAATTTAAATTATGAACAATGACCTTTTTATTTCATGACAAAAACCCTAATACACACTTGAAACATTGAAAATAAGATGTTATTCAATTTTTCAAGCAGCACAATCTAGTCATATATTTTGATAGTCTACACACTTAATTAAAACTTCTGTATATTGTTTAAAACATTTCATTGATATATACTAGAGTACTATACATTACTTACAGTATTTTTAAAAATGTAATCCTTGGTGATTGTTGAATTGGATGAGGATTTTGTGATTCATTCAAACAATTTTGTATTAAAAATCAACAAATTTAAAAACTGATGGAAAATATTATGATATTTCACTTGATAAACTAGCCAATTAGCTGTTTCAAAGCAATTTGTAGTGAGTTAGACGGTACATTTCGCATATATCCCAAAATGTGCGCTGTCACTTTAAAAGATGTGATGGAGAAGTTTTAGTTAAGTGTGTTGAAATGTCTATCAAATCATTCGCTACTGAAAGTTAACATGTCAAAACGTAACATTTTGTATACCACTAGATCAAAATTCTACCCTCTCTACACTTCCATTAATTTGAAGCCAAAAGTCAAACATTTTTGCACGACACTTCTCTTCATATCTTTTTAGATTACTTCTAGCATATGGGACAAATTGAACTTGGCCAGTGAACTTGCCCAAGGACTGATAAAACAAACAAGTCGTAAGAGCGTTCGTTCCCAGAACTTGAAGATAGATCTTTGTGAATGAGTAGCAGTATATGCCCCACATCCAGGAGTTTCTGTTGAAGCGACCTGCTGCTTCAAGATTGCAGGCGTTCAGTTCAAGACCTTGAACTACAGATTCGTATCATTTCGCTGATTTCTATGACTACAATGCCCGGAGATTTTCGTCAGATTCACCGCGGACAGACTAGCTGAAAACAATGCTCGAAAGCTGATCATGATCAGCTCCAAAACTGTCGGCAAAACTTTCTTTCAAGTCGAGGAAGTTGGACGGAGTGAGTGTATGTGTGTGCGTGCATGGTGGCTGATCCGTCTCCTAGCCAAGTAATGGAAAGCAGATCTGTTAAAAGAAGATCGAGAATAATATTTCGATCGGGTTACAAGTATGCAGAAGCGAAAACGGACATAAGAATGTCAATTCCGTTCGTGCATTCGGACCGTTAGGCTTCATCCTCCCACATCATGATCACTGACGAACTCCTTGAGGCAGCTGGCGTGCAGGATATGAAGGAGTTCACTGGGTTCAGTCTTGAACTGCCGGCACCGCTGCCCCTCGGCTGCTGCTATTGATCACGTATTCTTCCATGAGTCTGCTCAAGGCAGTAAGCATTTGTTCGGTCTTCTGGAGGTGGGCATCCTCGTGTGCCTGCTTCAGCTCGTCCTCGAGCACGACCTCTCTGTTCGTCTTCGTCTTCGTGTTCGCATAAGCCACGGGTTCCGCAGTCAAAATCTCCGAGACCTTCGCGAGTCCGAGCGCCAGATGCCCACCTTCCAACTCCGACGTCACCGCCATGCGCGACTTCTCGTCGACCTTCAGCACCTCGTCCTGGACGTACACGCCTTCTAGAGCAGCTGCAATCAAAGAAAAGCAAGTTCATTCCGATTTCCCAGATCCTCTGGGCTCCATATGATCGAAAGTCTCCGAACTCCCTAGAGACAATCCTCTACGACGCCTCAATATCATGCTGTCATCAACATTGCCTCCTCAACATTTCATCGTTAAAATGATTATCGTGATAATTGCGTCTTCCTCCCGGCTGTGCCATCTAGTCTATAACATTATCTTCAACGAGCATCAGCTTTATGAAGGTCAAGAACGCTGCAGGAGCGAAGAGTCTCCAAACTGATTCCCACGAAGGAATCAGTCTGACCTGCACGACGCAAAGGCATGCAACGGAGACACGGACAGGTCTGCGACCATGCACTGGACAATTCGGGAAAAAAATCTTCTGAGAGTCAGATTCCATTTCATGCAGCAGCAGGGAAGTCACCGGATTTTATTCCCGGGTCCAGCCTTGAGTACTTTCCCAACCGAGGCCGTACATTGAGCACATTCCGGACTGCGAATCCGAAGAAACAGACACCGAAGCAATGTCATGCCTATCAGCCGGAAGATCATCGTGCATGCAAAAAGGGGGTGAGAGCTTACAGGAGACGAAGGTGACAGTTCTCGTGAGGCCGGGCTGTCGATCGTCCCGTTTGCCTTCGACGCCGGCGACCTGTGATCCAAACTCGGCCGAGGGCATCTTGCCGGATGCTCTCGGTCCGACCACTCGAGTGGAGTCGGACGAGGCCGCCATGGCGCCACTCGAGAGCAGTCGTCAGGCATCGATTCTTCGATGCGGCTGCGATGAGATGGAGAGACCCGGAGCTCGCGTGCGCTTTTATACTGGTCCTTGGTCGAGCACCTTCATTATCATTCCTATCCTAACGAAGGAATTCGCGAGTTTCGATGACGAGGAGGCAGGAAGGCAGGAAGGCTCTCAAACCGCGACCCAGGTCAAGGCCGGTCTCCCCGCTGCCCCGTACCGGGAGCAAACAGTCGATGCATGCGCATTATTAGCGCATAATAATACCGCTCCGAAGTTTGTCAACAATCTTTGTCCGACGCCTGAGTTTCTATCGTCCGCTCGCTTTCCTTTTCCGGGCGACTCAGAGGCCTGCGTCTGGCTCGTCGAGCGGGCGGAGAATCTTGACAGGCATCTGATGCAGACGGTGTGTGCCGATTATTGATCGGCCCGGCCCGCATTAAAATGCCCGCGCTGTACGTTTCCGTGATCCGCCTCCCGTTCTCGTTGTACCCTCGCCATCGCAATATTGACTCGGCTCACCGGTCTGTCGGTGGCCACCTACCTTCCAGCCGGCGCTCTTTCCGGTACGATCTAAACGACGCCATGAACGTCTTCTTTTCCCCTTCCCGCTCCCTTCGAACGAGCAACGAGAAGGCGGAGCTGCTCGCCCCGCCATCAGCCAAGTGGTTGATCGGATTGCCACCTTCGAAGTCTTCGTCGAAGAAATGATGGGACCCGAATCCGATGCGGTTCGCGGATCCAGTTCAAATTCGCCGCCCCGAGCCCGGCCCAGAGATGGCAGAGCATCTTCGTCGCGGCGGGTCGCATTCCGAGCGGCGGAAGCATTTGTGTGTGGACGTGTGTCGAGAGCTTTGTGAGCTGTCGGGAATGCGATGGGCCTCGAATAGAATTTATCATCTTCGGATTATTAAAAAGTCTCGATTTTATATTCACAGTCTTCGATCTAAACTTTATGAGTTTGGGCTCGCTGCGTACGCCCGGCGCCAGTGCCCTGGATTGAGCTGGCGACGACTTGAATGGCCGTTTCGGAAGTTTGATTGAAAAGGCCCCCATCACCTCGAGAGATCTACGTCAAAGAAGGATGCTCTTCTAGCCTGTGCTGCCAGGCACGACGTGCGTTCATAGTCCCGTTCCTGTGACGCGAATGTTCAATAATTCTTATAAATAGGATTTGGAAGCTGCTGTGAGGACTCGCTGGAGATCGCAGAATTTTCCGAGAGTTCGAGTTCGAGCGAGTGGTGCTGTGCATGATCCGATGCTCGCACAAACACTGTCAGTCCAATGAATGCTTCGAGTCTGAATGATTGAGTCTTGTTGAACGCATTCTCCCGGATTAGGAAGCATGACCACTCTGGTGTCGGTGAAGCGTAAGCATTGACTCGAACCGGGCATGGTCCAATGACATGTGCCGAGCTTTCTCGTTTCCAGCTCCAAGCTGACCACAAAAGGATATGAGCCTTCTGAACTCGGTCCGATACCTCACGTGAAGGCCAGAGGACATGGATTTTACGTTGGCCTGTGGGTCGTATTCCTCCGTATTTCACTTGCCTTTGCATGCCCTCCCTGACCGCCTCTACACCAACAAGATTCCATCGGTATATATCACATGAAAGTTGCTCTTATGAAGGCTTAATTGTTTTTCATGTCCTCGTAATTGCATTTCTGGGTGCAGCTTTAATTTGTACACTGATGCTCATCCTTTTGCCGACTGCGAGTCATCCTTTGTTTCCACCACCTGTTTCTTCTTACATATAATATTATTACGATAGCATTGTTGAGCAGACATCACCAACTGTTTCTTCATATATAATATTTTTACAATAGCATTGTTGAGCAGACAGCACTAAGAATTTACTCCTAGCTCTGCACGTAGTCCCGGTCTGAGCTCATGTCCCGCTTCATGAGGGGTCAATCAACATACTTGGACGCCAGCTGCAATTTTAGGCATAAAAATTTATCCTTGAAGGGCTCTCCTTCTATTTTACGTGCAGATGACTGAAAACATGGCATTTGATGTGAGATGAAGAATTCACCCGCTGCATATGTGTACTATACAACCATCAACCAATTTTCCGTCAACTAAAATTTGGTCTCTAAATATGCATGAAATATATACTCTTTTCTTTACTTTAATTATACTGATATACTGCAGGCAAAATCATAATATGACATTTTGCCAGCCACGTATTGAAGTGTTAAGTCAAGCTTCGTAAGGATGAACATATTGTTGTGTTTTGGGGTAGGGGGTGTGTGTTCTAGCGTAATTAGATGTACCCTAATTTCCATGTATAGTGGTTCGGGTTCTCGCACGTAGAAACCGACACGAGAAGGCTTGTAGAGAGCTTCTGAAAATTTTGGCAAATTAATTAATTAGTGAATGGTGAACTTATCAACGGGAGAAAGGTGTTCCATGTGAATTACTCAGTTCATCAGTTTATACACCCTCGTTGTCTATTATTCGTTGAATAAATCAGCTTTGACTATGTATTCAGGACAGATCGATAGAGGAAAACTGTAACGTCATCTCAGAGAAAAAGGATGAGCCTAAACTGAGACGAGGGAAATGCTTAAGAAATCTAGCCATCTGGCTTCATGTAGAGTAGAGTATATGTAAAGTTCCCAATCTCCATGGCAATAAATTAATCTGATTTTCAGCAATGATTTTAAAGCCACATCACCATCATTCTCAAATACTTGCCTCTTTTGATAGTCACTTTTTGGAACATCTCACTTATGGAACTTTGTACCAATTGATTGCTGATGATTACCGACTTGCTTTTTTACTATAATTAGAACCTCTTACAAGTCAAATTAGATATCAATAATTGCTGACTATTCATAACCGACGGCGAGATGATGAAGCAGGAAAGTAGAAGTTGGATCCTGGAGCCTGTTCAACGGATCCCACATCAAAAACATAATAATTATAAAAATCTTGAATCTCAAAGATTTCATTGATACGCATATGATTGAGCTGTATTGCATGAAGAGCGTTACACGAGACAAAACATACAGTTTAATAAGAATTTGAGAATTTTCGAGCTTGTTGCAATTAGATTTATTTATAAGAAATCGAAACTTCAAAAAAAAATCATAAACTGTGTCTAAGCAATATGGGTTGTGGATTTTCTAGCTTATGGTTTTTAATAACCGATTATCGCAGCATATATCTTGATTCGAGAATCTATCCCGCTACATGTGTTGTTTTGATGAGAAATTTAATCCAATTTTAAAGAAAAAATGTTATTAAGATTAAAATTTGATTCAACTTGATTATTTCAAAGACTGGCTAATTAAACCATACATTGCATGTATCGTCAAAGAAAGAAAATATTTACAAGTGACCCAAAGACAAAAACCATGCAACGTCAGAAATTTCTCAACGACTTTCTTCAATGATTAGGATCAAGTTTGCGCATTCTCCTTGCCCTCTTCTCGGCGAGACCGTGAGAGGACTCAGGTCGCGGGGTGGGTCATTACCTGCCCGCGCTAAGTCAACGGGGACAGGAAGCGGATCCGAAAGAGATTCTGGGCATAGTCGACCATTTTTAGATAGTATAGCAAATATTGATAAGTTATAATTTAAATATAAAGATTAACAAGAAGGTGAGAGATAAATCCAGTTGCAAGGGCATTGATTTTGAAGCAAGCGGAGTGATAATATCATACAAAATAACTATTAGACGTGAGCAAACCACAAATTTATATTATAATGGAGCATCATACGATCACATTGCTTCAAGAGCTGCTTCAAACACCAAAACTGAGTTGACACATATTTGGGTCCGTCAATTCCAAATTCACCCGCATTTCAGACCACTAACCTGAATATCCTTGAAGCAAAACCAAACCTTGCAACAGTCTATTTAAAGCGGCTCTAATCTCTCTATCCTTTCCCACTGACAAGTCATAGCCGTTCTCAACTTAAGCAGTTTCTGCTTCTATGGCTAAGAAGCAAAAGTTATTGATCGGATTTCCAAACATTGCACCAAAATTATTAGAAAATTTGGCGTCGATCAGTGGCCTCAATCAGGAGCGCGAAAGAAACAAACTGACATCTCTGCCGTTGTCGTCGACCAGTGGCCTGCTATTGGGACCCTGTCACAGGAAGAGCAAATGTCTGAGTACCTCCTCTGAGCTCTAATTAAGCATCGGACTCCATTATTTTATTTGCCCTTTACATGAATTCAATCTCTAGCTGTATGCAGACTTTGAGAGACCTCAACAAAAGTCTTCTGATGCCAACTTCCACTGTAAATAGATATTCTCAAAGAAAGGGCCCCTCCTGACGAGAGGATCAGAGCGTCCAGGATTACCAGATCTAGTGCTTTCAGAGCCTTCAGCTGATCCTCGGATACCGTATTCCACTGAAGGAAACAAGCCAAACGAGACCGATGCAGTTAGTAAGTCAAAGCTCGGTTGTCATTTCTCAGCTGGCGTCACTGACATTTGGTGTTTGCATGCACACTGGTACATCACACACGTCCGAAGGTCACCACGTACGATTTCTCAGATGGCAAGTCTTACCTTCCAAAGACAAACCGTCCAGCTCACGTTCTCGGTGCAAGGCGGGGTGGTCATGGATCCATTGTAGCGTGCGTAGAATGGACCGACCGGCAGGTTCACGGATACCGTTTCCACTTTTACCTCGGCGTACTTGTCAGAGACTTGGGGCAGCAGGTCCCAAAACTGGAAATGTATTGCACCATTTGGAAACAAGAGTTTTTGGGTAAGTTTACAAATTGAACCGTCAGTGCTTAAATCACACGAGTTCTACGACTCCGCTTGTCTGATTGCGTGAAACATGCTATTAGCAGATGGAATCTTCGTTAGACTTGTACTTATATGCACATGGTTTTGCATGCTTTTGGCAGCCGACAGAGGATTTGGCAGTTAAGATTTGAGAGGTATATTCTCGTGATTCGAAGCAGCAGCTTCACAGGCCTATGTATACCCTAGATACCAGCTGATTGGAAATACAAGTAGGCTTCGTTTGCCCATGGCTTCAATACGTGAGCACGAACCTGATCCAGAAAATCGCTGTGATAGCTTTTCAGGAAAGGAACGCTGATGACTGCCTCTTCCCCAGATTCACTTCGATGCACTAAATGCATTTCCAGAGGAAACCTGCGAGCATATGTTTTTCCTTGTGAGAGTCCTTGTGATACAGCCAGAGTAGTTTTACTTAAGAGTCTTCTTTCGTAATCATTTCCGAATTATTATCAGTCATTTAGGGTTTAGGTCAGTATGATAATATCATTAATTATTATTATTATTATTATTATTATTATTATTATGGTTGAGAATGTACCTGACTCGCTGAATTATGTGCTCGCTTGGAGAGTGGAAGTGGAGTTGTTGTAAGAAGTAGGCGTCCCCGTTGAGCATCAAACGTCCAGCGAAGTTAAGAAAGTTCAACTGCAGCCCAGACCGATGAAAAACAAACTGATCGGGTCATTTCACTGGAGAGGATGCATTCTAATTGTCTAAGAGATTCAAGTTGCAATGCGGCCTGCTCGAATGATTAATTTTATTTCCATGATTTCTAGATCCTTTAGATAGGGGTTGCAATGTGATACAGAGCTCCCAAAACTCCTCAAGCATTGTAAAATATTCTGTTCTTCTCCATAACCAGAAAGATGGCACTGCAGTGAAGGTTATACTTTACCTCAATACCATGCCCATTGTTTCTGAGTACAGCTTCACTAGGGAGGTACATGACATTGAGCTTGGAGAGAGTGAGATCAACACTATCTTCTGTGACATTGATGGCGATCGGCGACTGCAATTGTCCATCTCTACATGTGCTCCATGAAGGTTTAAGATCCGCCCAATGATCCGGACCATGGTTACTTTCTGGGTCATAGTCAAATTCCACATCTAGATCTTCACCTGCAGGGGGAGAGCAACTAAAACTCATGAACTGAGAATCTTATGATGTTCTGAACCAGCTTCGGGCACTGGTTCTTTCAAATGAGTGTTGTGTTCAAGTGTCATGTATTTCAGTGAAATTAGTCAACAACCCTCTCAGAGTTGAAAAACCTACTGCTAATTATTTTATATTGAAGATTGTGGAATGAGAACAAACCTTCGGCTTTGACAAGGGAGATTGAAGATAGAAAGATGAACAAGAAGCACAATTTGAAAGTCGATCGAATCATGCTTATGGGCACAGCCACCTCCTTCAGAAGTCCTTGCCTTTTTCAGTGAACTCACATATCCAACAGGGACCATTCACAAAACTCTTCTGACTTTCAAAATCAGCCCGTGGGTTAGACAATCAGTGTTCTGTAAGAAATGTACAAATCACGGTGCATGAAGACTTTGAGAAGATACTGAAGCCCAGAGTTTGACGATTTTATCTCTTGCGGGTCTGCACTGGACTTGAAGTTCGACTTGAGAGTATCTGTCGGGATGAAGGAAGCTGAAAGTGTGCTGATCACCGAGCACGTTCAGATCGTCTCCTTGCTATTGTTTCATGATGTGCCTGCAATTTTATTGATGATGAGCTGCAGCCAACGTCTGAAAGCCTACTTGATGAGCTTGGAATGCTCGGAAGGCACTTACTCTGATTACACCTGCTCTTCATATGCAGGATAGATGGCAGCAGAAGCATTTATACACTTGAACCAGGAATGGCCTGGCAATTGAGCTTGCAGAGGTAGTGCGTGATTCTGATCACGATTCCATGTGAGCTGCTTCTCTAACTGGCGCCAAACCCGTGAGCAGATGAGTAGATGAGTGTGACGTAACCACAAGTTACTTCGGCATTACTTCAGCTTCACAGCAAAGGGGTCTTAGTTCTACACTAAATATCTGCTATTACTGTATCTATCATGAGGATATATATGTATCGTTGCTTTGAATATTAACTATCCCTCTTCATCTTTTTGGAAGTGGATGTTCTTTCGAAGACTCTCACATGGAGTTGCAACGAGGCAAGTTCAAGTAAAGACTCGAAAACCAAATTCCTACCGGTTCGTTGTTAAACTAAGTTAACTGTATAACACTTTGATTCTCCATCTTACGTTCAATTTTATTTTCTCCACAACAGTGGTAGAAGCCAAGTTAGGCGAATGCTTCATAAACTTCGGCTTGAGAAAAACTGAGAATTTCTTACGACATTCACACGTCATCGACATGATACTTTCCGGCGATTCACAAAGTCCGTACTCCGTGCACCAGGTGCTGTAACTAATGACATCACTGATGACTGCACTCTCATGAGTACGCAGTATCTGTTGTAGATCTGATACTTCGAAGACGGATATGGTTCTGAAAAGATTAGGACGTAGCAACAACAGTTTACCAAAATGTCGTCGAGACTTTGCTACAGATGGGACGATGTACAAAACCATTACAGAAGTATGAACAAGAAGTTTCAAGCTGACCCGGAAAGTGTAAATTGCGATGAATCCTAAGGCTCAGATTCCATGCGATTACGAGTTAATCGTTGAGCAAAGCCACCTCGACTACTCGAAAGCTTTCACAGAATTATGACCCGGAGTATATTCCAACCCTGCGATTATTTTGACCTTCTCCTTCTACTGTCTTGAGGCACTCATGCGCCGAACGAGCTCACGTGATTCCTTTGGATTCACTCACGAGCTCTTGCAGCCAACCAGCAGTGCCACGTCTTTGCAGTCTGCGACGATCTTCACGAGCGACCAAATCATAACTGACTCCCCAAATTTCAGCATAAGCTGCTTGACTTGTACACAGCGTGAGACTGTCCAGAGATTATGTTTTGCTGGGATATAAAATCTCCCGTCGGAGTGTAAAGTTCTTGAGTTTTCTCCTGAATCAATACGTACATGGGATCATGGACTCGATCGTGGCGTAGCTTCGAGACGGATTCGTTTTCAAGCTCACATTGCTGGAATGAAGACCGCTCGCTCTGCGTGTGTGCTGCAGCGGCAACATTGCTGTTGGGATCTTAGTTCCTTGATCCTCTGTTGAACCCCGTGGACTTTCATTCACTCTCAGAAGACTGTGCCTTTAAGTTTTGTGGAGATTCAAAGCAAATTTGACAATGTATTCCCCAAATTGTTCGACCTTTTCAATTACCTGGAGTGAGTCACCAATTGAAAGCGTCTCTGATTTTATAGAAAAGTGAAACATTATTGGTTTACATTTAAAAGAATAATTGGATATTTTGTAATTAAATTAATTAAGATTAATATTTATTAAAAAAAATCATAATTTCAAATTTTAATAGTTGATTAATGAATGCATTCATTACAAAAGTTAGATTGAATTTACTTATTATAAAAAACTAAACTAGTACGAAATATTGATAGATAATACATATTATCATATTTTATTATCCATTGATAATGTTCACTTAAAGATTCTTTTGATTTATAATTATTTTATACTAATAATTTTCTATAATTGGAAATTTTAGTATTAAATTTTTCAAAATACTTTAATCTTTCAAACTCATTACTTTTTTTAATTTAAAAAATTTAAATTTTTTTATTAATTATACTTTAGATATTTACATCTATTATATTTGAAAACTATTAGTTATATATCAAATTAATCTAATGTTCCCATCCTGCACTATTTATCACACTTTCAATTTGACCCCAAAGATTATATCACAAAACTCAATCCAATCAGTTCAAACCAATCACATAGTTATGTTCTATATAGTGCATATAGTTCTATATAGTGTTATTCGGGTGAGAGATAATTAGTCTTTTCTTTTCTTACATTAATGATTTTGTTTAACATTTTTTATTATAAAAGTGAGTATTTTACTATTAATTTAAAAAAATTTATATTTTTTTAAAATTTTAAAAAATATATTGAATCATATCATCTTGAAAAGGAGAAAGTATATATTTCACATAAATATATAAAAGTGTAATGATCAAATTATTGACAAGTTTCATAATCATTTTATTTTCTGATATGGTAATAAATTTCGAAATTTAAAATTATTTAAGAAAATAAGAATTTATACTTATTTATTTATGAATTGATCAACGTACGTAATAATATTGAAATTTGTATAAAATAAAAAATTTGAGATTTTGATGATATTTTTTTAAAAATATAAAATTTCTTAATTTTTTATAATAAATTTTGTTTTAACTTTAGTTTCCTTTATTTAATAGATTATACAGTCTTGTTGGATGGTGATGTCTTGTATAGAGATCATCTATTATATAATGTTTGATGCATAATTGTTTAGCTTAGATTGTGATTAAATGATGATTCACATTTGTTATATATATTAAAATATATAAATAATTTTTTTCAATAAAAAAAATTCTTTAATACATGAATGATTATTTATTTTTTGTTATAAAAATACTTCTTCATTCACACAATTTTTAAAATATATCACAAAATAACTTGAAAATTTGTATATTTATATTTGAATACTAAATTTTTCAAATCCAATAAATATTATTCTTACATAATTTATTTTATACATGTTAAACTAAATCTTTATATGTAATATTATCATGTATAATTTTTATCTTGTTTTTTTAAAGTATTATATATATCATCCTTTGAAAAATATCTCTAGATGATAAGCATATATCATATCAAACAATGAGATTTTTTTACATGAGATTTGATTGAATTATTACGTATGTTAAAAGAAAATTTTTTTAAACTGTAAAATTCATTCTTTGATACAAAAAATTAGTGAAAGTAAGATTTCGAATGATAATTTTGATTTTTTCAAAGTGAGTTATTTGTAATGAAAATTTTTGTTTTTTCAAAAAATGTTAGCTCAAATCAATAATAACAAAAGCAAATCATAGAAAAAATGAACAATAAATAAAACTAAGGTTGGGTTGATTTTAACAGTACAGTAAAAGTCTTTATATTATATGAAATATTCAAATGATCATTATAAACATTGATGTCATTCAATCAACTTGATTATATATTTGTCTACTGTGTCAATCAACAAATCATTAGAAAATAAGTTATCTGCAATTAACTCTTAGAAGTAGTAAGATTCAATGTAATGATTTTGCATATTAATTTTGTTGTTAGAAAGAAATTGTTACTAAATATAATTTCATTCATTTTTTAATTTTTTCTAATTTATTTGATTACACATATAAAATACAAAAATGATGATAAAAAAATCAATATGAAACCAATCACAACTTCGTCTGATTATGATTACATCTTTACAAATTTTGTGCATTTATTTATACAAGTATTAATGTGTGAAAATACATCAAAATTGTGACTTTAATGAAATTTTATTATGTGAATGATACACATTTATAATTTTTAAACTTTCAAGAAATTTTTTGTTTTCAATTTAAAATTACTTGTATCATCTCAACAATGCAATGTCTATGTTATACACATAAGATATTATGATTTGATTGTATGATCAGTGTTTGCAGTCAAAGTGCATATGTGTTCAAATCACATTGAAATCATACTTTCATACAAATCTCAACAAGAAAACTTCAAATTATTATCATTATCAATATCAATATCACTTCAAAAACATAATTTTGATTATAATAACATGTTGGTTCCATGATAAAAAATGTAATTTTATTATGAAGTTTTTAGATATTCTACATTTGAACTATTTTTAGAAGTATATTATTTTTAAATTTATGATAGAATTAGATGTTGAAATTACACACTTAATTTTAACATCTTGAATCCACTTATATTTATGAACAATGTATGTAGAAGAGTACTACTTATTAGTACTATTGTTATCTATCATATATATTAATGCATACATGTAATTATAATTTTTATTTGATTTAAGTTGGAAATAAGTCAATTATTGATATTCAGATAAAAAAAAATTATAAAAAAATGAAATAATAGAACATTGATTAACATACAATTGTTTATATTTACACCTGATTTCATCTAACAATATTCTTTTGCACTAATAATGATTATATTGTTCGAGTTCATGTTCTAAACTTATTATGACTTTAAAACATGAAATTTGATTCCGCATTAAGAAAAAAATACTCAGTATGACTTTTTTTCAAGATAATTTAATCCATTAGTGCAAAGAAAATTATTTGAATACATGTATATTCTAACTCGTTTTGGATACCAATGCTTCTATTCCTTTATAAATTTTCCATTTCAGAAATACTATCTAATGTTGGAAAATATATATGCATTGTAAGATTATCATATGAAATTTGTGTTGAACACTTCTAGCTATGAATTTTTTTATTCACTTCAGATTAAATAAAGTGGTATTATCTAAAACTATAACTCCAAAAAACAGAAAAAAATCCAATAATAATTTTTTGAATTATAATAATATCATAATATTGAAGCATGTAAAAGGTCTCAAAATTTAACTTACAGATTGTTTGGTTCTTGAATTAAAACCTTTATTCAAATAGGTAGCAAATTGACTATTTCACATGAGATAATAATATCTATCAAATTGTTGATCTAGCTCCCAATGGAGCATTCCTCTATAGTCACAGATTGTAATTTCAGTGTCAGTCCTGCCTCCTCTCCTACCAAGTATTCGTGTTGAACTTTACTGGAAAAAATTTACAAAGGCAATCCCTTCATTCTTGAAAAGTTGGCATATTTCGTCTCTGGAGAAGAAAGTCAGCGAACTTCACAAGACCAGAGATGCCAACTAAGGCCGAAGAAATCGGAATTGAAACTTACATCGACCATAGTCATGATGAAACGTTGAAACGATTTGTGTGACAGGAGTTCACATTCAACTGTTGATTGCTTGTTGATTGCTATTCGGAACTGGAACCTACGCCCTACATGTGACCTACCCCCATTACTAGTGTGAGAACACTGAAGAGAGACGCCAAACCTCAAACTCGGAGGTTCATTGATGTCGATGTCTTCTCAAACTGCTGGGCAAGTTGGGTTGCATACTGACGCGCCCACTGATCATAATTTACAATATCATCCAATGCAGGTTGAAGTACAAGATCCTGTCTATGCTTATCACAAGTCTTCTCGATAAGTTTGATGATGTCCAAGTATCCGATTCTACAATCAGATCAATGCCCAAGTTACAGGTGCTCTCATTAATATGCTTGTCTAGATTTTCGGTTTAAGGATATAAACTGGTAAAACCCCAGAGGGTATTAGACATCAATCATAATGCATAAATAACGTCAAGGCATCACTAGAGGAAAGGAAAGTTCAAGATAATTCTAGGAGCTGTTTATATCTTTCTTGTACATCAACCTTCAGTCGTACCGTTATCTACCTACATGGTCAGCTATCACCTATGTAAACAGATTATGCAATGTGCGCTTTGAAGTTGAAGTTGGAAGTTCACTATTATGTGAAGAAGTTCCTTACCTCTCTTCAAGGAAAAGCTCGACAGCCTTCTCATTGGCTGCACTAAGTACACCAGTCATAGTACCACCTGCCCTACCAGCTGAATAAGACAGATCCATAGACGGGTACTTGGCACGATCGGGGGCAATGAACGTCAAGTTACCCATCCTATGAAATACAGAAGAAGATCAATTTGCATATCCTGTTCAAGATTGAAAGTAGGATGTCGGTAGCACTATAGCTGAATATTTAACACATGTCCACTATAGTTTCGTGCACAAAACGTTGATAAATTATGCGACCCGGCAGCAGAGTGCAAGCGTAGAGTGGGGAAGACATACTTTACAAAGTCCAGGCGAGGCCAAGTGGTCTCAGAGCAGGGCACTCTTTCAGGCCACGATAACGTGTATAAAATTGGTAATCTCATATCTGGCCATCCTAGCTGTCCAAGCACGGAAGAATCCTGCGCATTGAAGACTAGTGACTTTAAGATCATTGGAAGGACCATTAATACTGTAGAAGAAAGCCAATATTCAAGAACATACAATTTAGCAAAGGTTTCTATACTAAATAATAGCTACATCTGGAAAATCTACCATGTAGATATTCCAGATGTAGTAATATTAGTAGTGTAATAGTAATAGTAGTGTAGTAATAGTACTTTAAATCTGCACTAATCTTTAACTACTCAGCGTACTTAAAGATTAGTCTAAACTCAAAGAAATAAGACAAGTAACATTGAACATTTTGACATATTCCTACGAAGGCGGAAGATAAGTACCTGTGTTTCAACCATCGAGTGGATGATTGATTGAGGGTGAATTACTATTTCAATATCGTCATACTCTGCTCCAAAGAGATAATGAGCTTCAATGACTTCCAGTCCCTATTTAAAAAAAAGTGTCAATAGATTGCGCATGGAGGTTGAGCACAGGCAGCCTGTTGAAAGGAGATATTACACACGGTACTAAAGATAAAAATTATAAGATTGTGGCCTTTTGGATATGACGCCAAACCTTATTCATCAATGTCGCTGAGTCGACTGTAATTTTCCTACCCATTGACCAATTGGGATGTTTCAAGGCATCTGCTACCTTCACATCTTTCAGTCTCTCGACAGGCCAGTCTCTACGCAGATAATCACAAGTGTCTTCATTCAGTTAAAACATATGCTTCGTCACTTCAGTGTGCTGCTTGTCTTAACAACACTGCACATAATATCATTGACTCTTCTCAAACTCCCACCTGAAAGCACCACCAGATGCAGTGAGGATAATGCGTCGTAATCCACCTTCTGGTATGCCTTGAATGCACTGCAGGAGACAATCAAGATTCATTACAACGCTCCATTTACATGAAATTGAAGCCCGATCAAGTTGCTCCATAATCGCAGCTCCAGTTGGTATTTCTGACAGAACGTGTGACACGGCTTAAAGCCGTAAGGAATAGAAGTAAGAAGACAAAGGATAAACAAGAACCTGAAATATGGCAGAATGTTCGGAGTCGGCTGGTAAAATTTTGCATCCGTACTTCTTCGCCAGAGGCAAGACGTAGGGACCTCCAGCAATCAAGGTCTCCTTATTTGCTAGGGCAATGTCCTTTCCAGCTTCTATTGCTGCAACTGTGGGCTGCAAATGGATACATCTACGAGGCGTTATAAGAAGATCTCCCAAAAGTCAAGAGGTATTTTCTCTATTATGAGCCGCTCAATGAAGTACTTCACAAACACAAGGGAACAACAAAAGACGTACCTTGAGACCGGCGCAGCCCACAATTCCAGTAACAACAGTGACAGCTTCTGGATGTTGCGCAACCTGCGGAGATGACATTACCAAAGCTTCGATCAAAGTCCGGGCATGGACATCAAACAGCAATCACTTCCGAAAGAGCTAGCTGTCCTCTTTCGGAAGCCTCATCATGTCACTTTTGCATCCTGTCTATAATTATTTACCAATAATTTGCGCTGTTCAATACACAAACGTTTTTTGAAACAAATCTTGGTCAACAAAAGAGCAAAGTCACCTCCAATATCCCTGAGTCACCCACGACAATCTCAGGCTGGGGATGTACATCAGCAATCGCTTCCCTCAGCTCTGCAACTTGTTCTGAGTTCCGTATGGAAACCAGACTAGGTTTGAAAGCTCTGATCTGCAATATGTCACAAAGTCCGTAACAGAAAAACGAAAAAGAAGTTTCTGACCAAGAACTATCGATTCTCCAACATTGAGAAGTGTGCTCAGGCTGTATACGATATGTCTCGGTTAATCACAATAGGATTCGTACTATACATACTGAGCTCTTCCACCCTCAAAAATCCTTCACGTATTACCTATAGTCAACATCCTTGGCCTAGTAATACCATAATACACGAAGAAACATAAAAGTGATATGATAATTCCATGACAGAGAAGAGAAGTCTCACCTGCTCTGCTAGTAAGGTTATGTTAGATCCGGCGGAAAGAGCCACGATCCTGAATCTCTCTGGGTTTTCAGCTACGATGTCCAGCGTCTAAAACATTCCACCAAAAGTTTATGGGCTGAGTCAGGCAAACTTCTAAAGTAATTGTCGGAGGCCTCTTGAGGAGAAATTATGGGTGAGACTTGGGAAAAAAGAAACAGCTTATAATATCCCATGCAAGGACCTTAGAACAAGAATGTCATAACAATCTCCTGTTTCCAAAGACGAACTACAGACAAGATAAATTCCTGCACGGCAGTTATTAAGATATTCACGGACCAGAAGCTACAGGCTGAAAGATTTGTATCCATCTAAAAACCAGAACTTGGTATTGCGTTTGATTACCTGCGTGCCAATGGAGCCTGTAGATCCAATAAGTGAGATTGGCTTCGGACCATCAAAGCTTTGCTTCACACCTTCATACACAGCTCGACCGGGCCAGGCTGGAGGTGGTCCTGTTGCTGAACATCTTACTCCCTTCACAGTCTTGGACACTTGAACGGACTTTCTCCAGGGATCTGCAAAATCAACACTGTCAGCTGAGTAGTACTTGGCGAAAGATTGCCAATAAATCAGGGTGCTTGAGTTCGATAATTGGAACAGTGTAAGCAGCCTTTTCTGTGCAAGTCATGTCACAGTGCGCCACTTTAGGACATGGATAAGGAGAAGGATAGTATCTCATTTACAAGCTATGGAAATTTACAAGACAGAAGATTTGGAAAGAAGAAGAGGTTCTCATAAACAAGGCAAACATATGTGACAAGAGAACAAGAAGAAGAAAAAACTTTAAGGCTCGTTAAGAGTACTAAATTCGTCAGGTTCATAATACCTCCTTCCACTCCAAATTGTTACCATCCACAGAACATTACCTTCGACTCTCGCGCCGGTATTCGATTGAACGTCGACTAATTTTCGTAATGTCGTTCCGCCCTGTTTTGAACATGGAATATATAAGGCCAATATAAAACTGTATTCGTAAATGGAATGCTCGATTCAAGATTGCTTCTACGCTCTCACGTTTTTAAGCTAAGATTAAACAGTGAAGTTCGTCAAAATACTCTACTTGAGCTTTCTGATTGTCTGCCAAACCCACATGTATCATAAATTTAGCATGAACACCAGAACAACGACAGAGCCCGTCACAGTGTAAAAGAAGCTGGGTCAGAGCCAATGCTCGTCGTCACGAATTTCTCAAGAATAAACGCGGCAAAGTTTTGGGAAGGTCTATTAGCAAACGGAAAGCATGAAAAAACTCACAAAAAGGAGCTGCTGACCAGACGAGACACAGGTCTGCACACTAGACAGTTCTGTCATAACAGAGACATTCATCGCCATCTTTCGCTTAGCTACGAAGAACTAATTCCTGCTCGATGATTTTCTTTCGTGCTGAAGATCCTGCAAACATTATTCACACAAGCTATTTCAGCTGAATGCTCTTCTGCGGAGACGTCATCAGCCCCATGCCAATTCAAGTAAACGTCCTCAAGAGCCTCATACTCTCGACCCTCTGAAAGTCACACTCACGTTATGTTTAGCTGCTCGCACTCATTAAACTCACCAACACCCGGCACTCGAAGTCATTCCATCCGAGCTAAACACAGATGGTGACGCTTGGTTATCCATGATTCTGCAAGTGATTATGCTTCTTCCCGATTGCAATCAAGTCGTTGGCATTTTGTCCTTTCCATTTGTCAACACGCCGGTCGTTACCACTGTACATCACGGTTGGAAAAGAACAGAGATTCGCTCGCTTGCTCAGCCGAATGTGGAAACTCCGCAGCGTGACCATTTTCTCCTCTCCAACCTTTCTTTGTGCCGAACTCAAGCAACTCATGTCCACTGCTCTATCAAACCTAGAATCGGACCATTAGCTTCCCAAATCTAAAGAGAATCTAACCCTCGTTTCCGGGTCTGAAATCTGGCACCATGTTCCACACGGGTCTCTAAGTGTAAGTCTAGAGGTTCAACAGGTGATGCCTTCCCGCATACGGAAGCCATATTATCCAGTGCAAGAGTCAGGGGCCACAGATGCATGCAGGCACCTTAAGGTCCAGAGATTCTTCCAGCTATCCTGTACTCTGTGCACAATTCTTCGCGCCCCCACGGGCGCACATGCTGAGCGCACATGCGAGAGGAGAGAATCACGTTTCGCCAAACCGGTCTGATTCTTTCCAACATAATTAGAGCGAGCAACTTCAACGTAATCACTTCTTCTTGTCAACTCAGTGAAAAATTAGAAAATAAGAAGCCCTTGTTAGTCCACAAACTGTGGAAAAGTGGCGACACTCAAGATCGATTATTGCATGCCGGAAGACCCGCAAGTGCGCGAGTACGTGTTGTGAAATTGTTGAAGCGCGGCGTTCCGAGCTCCTGTTTAGTACGCCAGAGAGATGAATTGCATCGAGGGACGAAAACATTTAAAAAAAGGCAAACAGTTTGTACTCGTGAATATTATCTGCGACATAATTTATAATCCAAGCTAGCTCTCTCTCTCTCTCTCTGCGCGTTGCGTCTCGAATCTGGAGTCAGGAGCGTAGTTGAGAGTCATGGAAGGACCAATCGAGATCCAAGATCCGTGACCATTTTGTAGTCTTTCTTTCGTGTTCTGCGTTCGAGGATCTCCATGACGGCCACGGACGGTTCAGAAGTGCGGCGAGCTTTGCTCGTCCGGATGCGTGACACGTGTAGCCAACCGATGCGCGGCCCCGTTTTTTACCCGCAGCCCGCAGCCGTGTACTTTATGCGTTATGGTCTGCGCCAAGCGCGCGCGCGGACAGCTTGGATGGCCCACCATCTTGAGTTCCGACGCGACGGCGCTCTAGACGAGGATTATTTTAATAAAGCTCACCACACTCGTCTCGAGGAGTTATATTGAATTTTCATTTTCAATTTTCGTGCAGGAGAAAATTCTGAAGAGTTCCGCGAATCTCTTCATTCAGTCGAATTTCAGAAATAATTTGAATGGTGCACTTTGACCGTGATTTAAGACTGAAAATGAATCAGCATACAGAATTTTGCAAGTAATTACATGAGCTTGATAATCTAAGAAAATAAGATTATATATATATATATATATAAACAAACACATCCAGAATTTCCTCTTCTTTTATACTTGCACACTCTCTTGTCGCGATTGCATTATTTCTGGTCACCCTTTTCAATATTCTTCCACGTGATAGTAAGACCAATACACATGTGAAGACTATCCAAAGTTCGCAACTAACATGACGTCTTTGGTTTCATCATGTACGAAACCAAAGAGGCTATGTACCTTGCAAGTCTTCCCATTCTTTTCGCTTCATTTACTTGGCCACTTAATCATCCACATTGACTATTTTATTTGTCAATCCAAATGTTTAATGTATTGAAACATTAACTCCTAGATATTTCTTAGAGTTCCAAACAAATCACATAAGTTTCTTGTCTTCTATATGTTCATTAAACCTTGTATATAACATATAGAGTAAGAGGAAATTCACTTGTATGTATCATGACATTAAAGAACTCAAATAAATAAATAAAAACCTATGCATAAACTCTTCATGTTTCTTGATATTTTAAATAATAAAAAGGACAAAATTTAACTCTATTCTACCTTAACTGGTGAAGATAATTAAACTGAAATAAATATCTAGGTGATTTGAATGCGAATTTTTAACTTTTTATAAACTACAAAAAAATTTATAAAAAGGGTTTTCTGTTGTTTATTTTTATATTTTGTAAATGACCTCAAAATTTTGAATGCAGCACACCTGAAGTAGCAATTTAGTAAATGTAATTGATGAGAACACAGCGTTCTCACATAAGATTTCGAATGACCTTATGATGAAATTTGACTGTGGAACATGAATCGTTTCTCATCTAAATTTTAATTTGACTTCAACAAATTCAGTTTAGTTGATTTCATCGTTAAAGATTTGAAAACACATTTTGAGTTTTATTTTTTCTAAATTAAAATATTATCATAGATGAACTAAAATTAAGTATAGACTTTACTCACATTTTTTCTGCAAATTTAATTTCTTATTCCTAATTTTTTAATGTATTTTAAGATGCATATGAATACAAATTACTAATGTATAACATTTATTTTCTAAAACACACCAGTATAAGTTATAATTCAAAACTAAATATTTGGTTCATCATTCTATATCAGAAATTAAATCTCATTCTAATTTTTATATTTGATTATGAATTTTTCATTAAGAAAATAATTTTTATGATTATTTTCAACAGAATTGGATTTCTGGAATCAAGTGGGAAATATATAAAATAAAATTTATATATTCATTTATTTTTTCAAATATTACTTGGGTGATTGAATTTTAAAACTCAATTGAATTACTAAAGAATTGACTTTGTTTATATAACAGATTTTTATTCTATGCGATTTTTTGTTTATCTATTATTGCGTAATTCAAAGAGAAAAATTAACACTTTATTAAATTCCATCAACTTCTTTTCAAGAGAATTTCAATATTTTTTTTAATCTTAGTGTTGTATTCTGATTTTCTTCAGCATATGGATTAATTAGAATGAAACATTACTTAAGTGAGCGAAAAAAATGTTGAAAACGCAATGAATCTAGTTAACACAAAACCATATTGGAAATCAAGCATCTATATCCAAAAAACAAATCACATAAATTATTTTTGCATATTTCTTTTGAAACTGTTTGAAAGATCTAATTTAAAAATAAACTTGCTAATTTTAATGCTTCAAGTTGAGTTTTTTCATTGAATCACATTTCTTATTTATTCCAAATTTTTCTATTTATTAATCAGATGTGCAAATGATTTAAAAAATATGATTAGTTAAATCTAATGATAAGTGTAAATATTAAGAGTTTTGATACATTATTCTCAAAAGTGTCTTAATTAAATTTGACAAAGAAAATTTAGAATATCATATTTCGATATATTTTCAACTTAGTAAATTTTTATTTTAGATATTCAAATAATTTTATTTTTTCATCAACTTATGTCTAATTTATTTCAATGAAAAGATATGAACAATAAAAATTAGTTTGTGTTTTAATTCAACACACTTATTTTTTATTTCAAATTAAACGTGATTTTTCTTTTTCATAACAAGTGTAAATATATGTACAAAGCATACTTGATTCTACGATTTACTATCTTGAATGAATGAATAATAAGGCCCAATATCTTGAAATTTTTTTCTACTTTGATGTATCAAATTCATGCTGTGATATTTTGCAGACGCATCTTAACAACTTTCAACATACAGTTTTTTAAATTTTATTTTTTTCACATTTAAAACAAAATATTGCATAAATTTTTTGTTAAAATTTTATATTTGTACATTGTCATAATTCTTATATCTTTTTTTCATAAATTTTAACATATGTCATTACTCCCATCACATATTTGTTCATTTTTTTTTTTGATGATAAAAATCGATACTCGTTTGAAGTAAAATTTCATATTCTTGACTAATGCTATGAGTTATCTCAAGTCTTCTGATAACTCAATTTAGCTTGATTCCATTTATGGAAGTTGATTAAGCTGTCACTGTATCAGAGAGTTCACAAAAACTCTAGGTAATTTTTTTAGATTTTTTCAGTATAACTTGAAGTGTTTTATGGACGTAAAGTGCAGTGATGCACCATACATGCTATATCTAGCATAGTATTTTCTGTTGGTTTTGACACAAAAGAGAAATAACATACGGTAGGAAAGATGAGATTCAGAGTATACCTCCTTTGCGTAGAATCATAAACATGAACTCCAAGAGAGGAATAATTTAATGACTCTAAAACCGTCTTCATGAAGACTTTTTTCGATATTTCATTGATTGGTGTTTCATCGTTGATTCTTGTGAAGCGTTTCTTTGTCACATAAAGTACTACCATGAAAAGGAACTTTATGGAAATTCTATAAAAACTTATGGTTAGAATGATGTTGAAATGTATGGGTTTCAAAGCAATTGGGAGACTATGTATTTGATAGTTTATAAAGAAACTCATATTGCTCTAGCTATGGGCAAGATAAAAAAATTTCTGTCAAATCGCTGATCGCTATGATATGAACTATTTGATGTCTTATTAAACAATGTCAAACTTTGCTAGGTTAGATTGATGTTTATTATGGACATAAAAGATCTATTTGAATGAATAAACTAATCATTAGATGAAATTGAAGGTCGTCAACATTCATTATAATAATATAAATTTATTACATCTTGCTGCAAATCAAATGATTGAGAAAAAATGAAATACATTGATATCATTTTTAAGCTCAATCTTATCACTAGAGAAATGAGAAGTTTGAACGATAATTTCAAAATAGCTCATAGAGGTGACCCAAGTTATTATTTTAGAGAATTTAAAGATGCATTGTGCTACTTTGTAGGTTTTACATGAGAATCATAAATTTTTTTGTATTTATAAATTTATTGACTCTAAATATATTTACTTCTTCATGTTTTGACTAAGAATTCATTCTTGTTAGCTCCAGTTCAAAGACTATCCTATGTTAGTATTCTAACTAAAACTTCTCGCAAGATATTTTTATATTTTATAGAGATTAAGGTAAATACTACATGAGTTAAGGTGGAGATTATTAGACATTGACCACAGTACTTTTGTGACTCAGGTTAACTTTAGTTAGTGAAGTTGGTATAACTATCAATCTATTGAAGAGTTCACGAAAGCTCTCCATGAAATTTTACATAGTATTCTGAGTAAACCTTAAAGTTGTTCCATGGACATAGCCTGTAGCAACGATGAACCACGTATGTGTTCCGGTGAACACATAAAAATTAACAATCTCGTGTTCACTCACACACGTGAACAAGAGTTTTCTAATACGTTCGAATTTTCTCTTGGTCAAAATCCTGAATACTACATGCATCTACCCTCATCTCCGACTATCATCTAACTAGCAAATTACTTCTTTGTACTTGATTTCTTATTAGCTTTTTGTCGGGCCTTCCATTGACGCGGATTGTGATCTGATTTTTGAAAATACAAGGTTTCATCTTCTTTGTTGTTTCAATGAGTAAAAAATCATCAACACAATTCCTCCATAAGGAGGATATTCATATTCTATGACCTTCCATTGAGTGACATCGAGGGCCATCACCACCGAGGCTTCATCAAAATTTAACATAGTCGCATCACATTTGACAAGGTGCAGATTCGCTAAGTGGATGTTGGAAGTTTTTGTTCAGATCAGATCTTCTTCCAACATCAGCTTAGAACGTAGGACATGCAAGAACGACGGCATCTCAGGACAAAGGGACGTCATCCTCATGATCTTTGATCATTCCATCGTCAGCCGAATGTTTTGATAGGACACATCAAAACATGTTCACGAACGAACATGACTGTCAACTTAGATTTAGGAGCATAAAGTGCTTTTGGAAACTCTTGTAAATATCTCACGTGAGTCCTGCAATTAAATCTAGAGAACGTGTCATAGACATTCAGTTAGTGACTAGAAGGATTCCTTCGTTTCGGGATTGGTTTCTCTCTGGTTTGACTTTGGATTATGCGATTTCTCCAACTTGTGTCTCGCTA